TTTGGGGTTTAGGGGTTTAGGGGTTTAGGGGTTCAGTGTTTGGGGTTTTCCCACTGGCTTACACCCCTGCAATTGGGCTGATAGCCCGCGAGCTTGAAACCCCTGAGCCCTGAGCACGAATATCTACAAACCCCCTAAACCCTAAACCCTAAACCCTAAACCCTAAACCCGGAGCTTGAGGATGCCCCTGAACCCGAAGTCCAAAAACCTGACCCCTAAACCTTGAGATGGTCCCCTTACACTAACAGCCCTTAATCGAGATTGCAATAGGAGGTACTATAATCCCCATGAAGGGCTGTTAGTATAAGGGGAACAGCCCAAACCAGAACCCTAAAGCCCGAAACGTCGTGCAGCAGCGTGACCAAGATGGTAAGTCCTGGAGAATTCCCCCGCCCTCTATGGTTGCCCTAAACCCTAAACTCTAGAGTGTAGTTTAAGATCATTGTTGTCTCCGATAGCTCTAAACCCTGAACCCTAAACCCCGGGCTTTTGGGGTTCAGAGTTTGGGCAGCTGGGTACGATCATAGGCCCGAGAGCCTTCAACCCTAAGCACACAAATGCTTAAGCCCAGAATGTCAGGGCTTAGGGTTTATGGTTGCGGGCCCAACCCTAAATCCATAAGCCTCCAAGCCCCAAAACCCAACAGGGTTTAGGGTTTAGGGTTTAGGGCTTAAGAGCACTGAACTGGGCGAAGGCTGTATATGTTTAGCGACTTCGGGTCTATGATGGGGTTTAGGCGTAGGCCTTCAGCGTCTAGAGTCGCGGGCACTTTGTTGCGGAAAACCCTAAACCCTAAACCCTAAACCCTAAACCCTAAACCCTAAACCCTAAACCCTAAACCCTAAACCCTAAACCCTAAACCCTAAACCCTAAACCCTAAACCCTAAACCCTAAACCCTAAACCCTAACGAAACTCCCAGAAGTTGCAACAAAAGCAAGCCGCTGCTGAGCCACCAGTGTGAAAACTTCTGCACGAGTCTTACTTGGAGGTTCATGGTACTTATTAGCCATTTATAACTGTCCTTACAACCCACTTACAAGCCCCTCAAGTGCCCTAATAAGGTGATAAGTACAGTTATCCTAAACCCTCAACCCGAAACCCTACGCCCTAAACCCTAAACCCTTATAAGTACAGTTCTAATTGGTTAGTAAGTACCATGAACCTCCAGGTAAACCCGAAACCCGGAAATTCGGAACTCTGGGCCCCGAAGCTCGCAGGACGACATCCCGAAACCCTAGCGGAGTAAAGCCTAAACCCTAAACCCTAAACCCTAAGCCCTAAGCCCTAAACCCTAAGCCCTAAACCCTAAACTCCAAACCCTAACCCCCCGCCCCCCCACCCCACCCGCCAGCCTACACGCCAAATCAGGTATCATGTTTCGGGGCAAGGACGGCCTGCTTCTGAACACTGAATGCTGGCCGGGGGCGGGGCTTTGGGGTACTAGACCCCGCGGGGCTTTGGGTTAGAGGCTGACGGGTCCCAAACTCTAAACCCTAAATCCTAAACCCTAAGCCCTGGCCAAGGGAGGCTCGGCTCTCCTCAGGACTTGATGCGCTTTGTCGCGCAAGAAAGCCCAAAGGAACGATACACTTCAGGGTTTAGGGTTTAGGGTTTAGGATTTAGGGTTTAGGGTCTAGGGTTTAGGGTTTAGGGTTCAGGGTTTACTCTAGTGCTGAAGGCCAAACATATGTCTTGAACTGAAAGGGTTCAGGGTCAAGGGCTTTAAAGCCCCGAAGCCCTAAAGCCCTAAAGCCCTGGAGCCCTGGAGCCCTAGAGGGTTTAGGGTTTAGGGTTTAGGGTTTAGGGTTTAGGGTTTAGGGTTTAGGGTTTAGGGTTTAGGGTTTAGGGTCTAAAGCCCAAGAGCCCTAGCCCTAAAGCCCAAACCCGGATTGGAGGCCTTCAGGGCTTGAGGTGTAGCAGGGAGGGTTTAGGGTTAAGGGTTCAGGGTTTGGGGCTTAGGGTTTAGGGTTTAGGGTTTGGGTTTGGGGGTTTGGGGCTTGGGGTTTCAGGCGGAGCTGATAAAGACATGGGCTGCAAGTTGGCGGGGTGAAATAGGCTTTTGGCTTCAGGCTTTGGGGTTTAGAAGAGGACAACGCCTTGCAGCCGAACTGGCTACACTTACCAGTGGGTTATCACGGCCGCGCATCCAGCGTCCCTCGGCTTTCCCAGCTGCAAAAAATGTGGATTCGGATAGAAGCAGTCAGCGCCACTGTCCTTACGCGAAGGCTTCTTCCTTAGCAGTCGCTTCTACTCCCGTATGCTTGCCATTCCCCAGAAGGCTCTTACAGGTTCGTTCCCCATAACCACAGCCCACTTAGTGTGGGCCTTTTAAGGGTTTAGGGTAAGCAACGTGTCCTATGAATAGCGTTCTGCTCCTAGTGAAAACAAAAAAAGCATCCACAATTCAGGCAGCCTTTAATGGGTCTTCAAGCCCCAAAACCCTAATTCCAAAACCCCTAAATCAGGAGGTTTTTGTGTTGGAGCTAGCGGCTTCAGGCTTGCGGTTCAGAGTTTGGGGGTTTCAGGGCTGCAGGGTCTAGGGCTTTTCTTTGTCGCACGGACGAAAATCAACATAGGGTTTAGGGTTCGGGGTTTAGGGTTTAGGGTTTAGGGTTTAGGGTTTAGGGTTTAGGGTTTAGGGTTTAGGGTTCATGTTGAGGGTTCAAGTAGGGACGAAGTCGTTGGCCCTAAAGAGCCCTGTTTTGCCTGAAGCCCTGAAAACCCAAGCCCTGAAGTCTCAAGGGTTTAGGGTTTAGGGTTTAGGGTTTAGGGTTTAGGGTTTAGGGCCCAGAAACTGCCCGTCTGAGGTGGTTGTCTCTGGTACCTCGGCCTCTTGGCTTCAACAGCCCAAAGGCCCGCAACTCGAGTAAGCGCGTATCAGTGCATTCCTGGCCCCTAAGCCTTACAGACTCTGTAAGCTCTACAAGCCATATACGCCCCAAGCACCCTAAACCCTAAACCCTAAACCCTAAACCCTAAACTCCAAACTCCTAAGCCCTTGACCCTGAACCCTAAAGCAACCATGCGCTGCAAAATGGATCCACAAGTCGCTTCTTCTTGCCTCAACATTCACTCCTCCGAATACTCAGCTCACAGGGTTTAGGGTTTAGGGTTTAGGGTTTAGGGTTTTTAGGGTTTAGGGTTTAGGGTTTTTAGGGTTTTTAGGGTTTTTAGGGTTTTTAGGGTTTAGGGTTTAGGGTTTAGGGTTCAGGGTCACACTCATGTCTGAAGGTTCTTGGCAGCTCATTTTTGGGTTTTTCATCATCTCGGGAAGGGTATGCACGAGGCCGCTCTAAATGACGCTTCAGTATACCTTTACGATCCTTCACGCAAAATAGGAGTTTAGGTTGTGGGCCCTTCAAGATCCTTCAAGGCAACGGATCAGGGCTTAGAGCGTACGTAGGCTGGGACCCAGAGTAGGCGCTTATTCCCTTTTTAAGGGTTTAGGTTCCCTCAGAAGCCCCTTTAAACCAAAAAGGGAACACTTGTTATTCCAAGGTTTCTCTTCGGCTTTGTAGGGTTTAGTAGGTTGTTTGCTCAGGTGGCACGACCTAGGGGTCAGCTGCAGAAGAACAGGGAAGATCCCTGGGAAGGCAGGCTGCCGTTCCCTAAACCCTAAACCCTAAACCCTAAACCCTAAACCCTAAACCCTAAACCCTAAACCCTAAACCTTAAACTGCAGGCTGCCCGTCCCGTCTCTTTCTTCGGGTGAAGGGGCCTAGGGATTTGAAGGGCACCCCCTGCCCCCCCCCCCCCCTCCCCCTCCCCCTTTTTGCCGGTGAAGTCACCCCAAAAGAAAACAAATGAACCCTAAACCCTAAACCCTAAACCCCTAATCCCTAACGCGCAAACCATGCCCCGCAGACAACCCGTAATTTAGGGACAAATTCCTTCATGGTAGGGGTCCTTTTCTGATTTAAGTTTAAGGGATTCCTACTCAACGGGTATTGGAGTCACCGGATTCTTCGGGAACCTAATTTCCCTAAACCCTAAACTACTATAAAAAACTTAATTCCTAAACCCTAAGCCCGTGATTGCCAGGCTCCACCTATGGCCCATGCAAGCTGCTGGATTTCGAGCTCGCGGGCGCCTGAGAGAGTTTCTCCTGAGTTGGGGCTTGGGGGTTCCCAGGTTATAAACCCTAAGTCCTAAACCCTAAAACCCTGAACCCTATAGAAGCCCTACGTAAGTGCCTAGACCCTCAAGTTACACACGCATTTTTCTTGCGGGCGACCTTTCAGTCAGTTCATTTAATAAGTGAGAAGAGAAGAAGAGCGCATGATCACATTATGGAATGCATGAAAAATGTGAATGAGGCTAGTAAACTTTCTATCTTCTGAAATTCAATACTAATATCTGTAACTTCTAGAAGGGCACCCTTACTGCTGCAGTAAATGACTTCGTGATGTTCACGTCATTCACGGCGTTTATCACTTCGAATACAATCAAAGATTGTACGAAATTAATCTATTCTCGCACCTCAATTCTTTGTATTTTATTGGCGCGTATTTCGTACACATTCATTCGCTCAATGCGCCTATTATTTAACTAATTCTCATTATACTACCGCGAATGAGGTGAGCACAAAGACGAAATGAATTCGCTTCGCTCTTTATTCTTACATCTCGCAGGCTTTTCTCAATAATCTTAGGGTCTAGGGGCTTTCGGGGCTTTAGGGGCTTTAGGGGCTTTGGGGGCTTTGCGGGTTTTTGGGGGTTTAGGGGGTTTACGGGGTTTACGGGGTTTACGGGGTTTATAGGGGGTTTGGGGGGTTTGGGGGGTTTAGGGATTAGGACGCAGTTGCCTTGCCGATCTCCTCTCACGTGCTGGCAGGTCTTTCGGGCTCAGACGACCCTTAACGAACATGGGGGTTTAGGGCTCTCATGCTGGCTGTCTTTCAGGCTCAAACGGTTTAGGGTTTAGGGTTTAGTGGTTTAGGGTTTCGGGTTTAGGGTTTGGGGTTTGGGTCCTGCTGGTAGCTTGAAGTGGGTACTTCCGCATGCAGACCGCTGCTCGATGGCCATTGTTCTGGCTTCTTCCCTATTCAGTCTGGAGCTATTCGGGCGTCACCGCGGAGTCCAATGCTTTGAACTTCGTCCAGAGGAAGGTGCTGCCACGAGTCTCTCCACCGCCCGAGCTTCCAGCGGCTGAGAGTGCACCTTCAAAGCCCTGGCACGTGCACAAATACATCTGTGTTGCTCATCACAAGGCCGGGCTTTTTTTGGTGCGCGACCTCTGCAAGGCGGTCTTCGACACTCTTGGGGCGACACCAAGCGAAATGGGTGAGTGGATTCAGCCCTGTTACCCTCGCACTTGTGTGCACCCAAAGGCACCGATCCAGTTCTGGATGGACCTCTACTCATACGAGCGAGCGCAGGAAGCAAGGGAAGCTGCCGGCGCGAAAGGCATGCGCGTCGTGGGAATCGTGCGAGACCCGGTGTCCGTGATCGTCTCAGCTTACTGCTATCACCATCGGGGCGAGGAGCCAGGAAATGTCGTGTTCGAAAATACCACCTTAATGCACATGGGCCCCAAACAAGGACTCAAGTTTGTTGCAGAGCGGATGCTGCAGCTAGTGGAAAACATGACGAGCGCCTTTGAGCAGCCATTCAATGATACCTTCCACCTAGTCTACGAGAAGGTCACCCAATCTTCTGAGGCCTTCGACCAGCAGGTTGGGGAGATGACCAGCTTCTTGTTCCAGCCGGACCTTATTTCTCCGGCACAGCGCAGCCAAGTCCTCAACGCAACACAATCAGCAGATCTGCATCGTCACCCGGGCGCCAACGGCGATCACGGGAACGACAAAGCATGCGAGGACGAAGTGCGCAAGTACGTGCCCTCACTGCCCCCAGAGCTCTTGTCACGATACCGCTCCTTCCAGGAGCGACTGGGATATGCAGCCTCAGAAGAAGGCCTATCCCAGCAAAGCAGCTTTGGTGAGGTTTTGACAGCTTCAGAAGGAAACCAGGCCGCAACAATGGCTTGAGGCTCCATTCCAAGACCGCTGCGTAGCTCGCTTCATGTGGTTGTTGAGAGCGCTGCTGCGAGAAGAAGGATATGGGTTGTTCCACGTTCTTGGTCGCCTGTTAGGTAGCTTACTAGGTCCCCCATTATGACCCTCATTCCCCTTTTTGTGGGGGGATTATGAACTACTATTTGCTTCGAACCCCAAAAGAAACAGCCAACAATCCCTATATTTCCCTTAATAAGGAAGAATATTTCTTCGGGGCTCTTACGCAATTAATTCGTAGTTAAAGCTGAAAAAAAGGAAGGGTACTCGTACTCTGAAGGAGATACTGGGGATAGGGTTTAGGGTTTAGGGTTCAGGGTTCAGGGTTTAGGGTTTAGGGTTTAGGGTTTAGGGTTTAGGGTTTAGGGTTTAGGGTTTAGGGTTTAGGGTTTAGGGTTCACCGAAGTCGGGTCCTCGTTTTTCCTCAAGGCCGGTGTTCAGAGTCTACCCTAAACCCTAAACCCTAAACCCTAAACCCTAAACCCTAAACCCTAAACCCTAAACCCTAAACCCTAAACCCAGAATCTCGGCCCCCAAGGAAATGGGTTTCTTCCTTGGTGGCTCCCTCCCGCCGCTGGGAAGGCCACCGACTCCAGGGTTTAGGAATTTAGGGTTTAGGGTTTAGGGTTTAGGGTTTAGGGTTTAGGGTTTAGGGTTTAGATGATTTCGCAGAATTTCAGAACTTTGGTGAATTTCAAGGTGGGGTGGGGGGGGGGGGGGAGCAGGGCTCTCGGTTCGTGCAGGGCAGGAGTGAGTCTGAGCAACCATCACTCAGGGATGTTCTATCGTGCTCCTCTTGTACTTTCTCTGTCGTGCTCTATTTCTGGCAGCGATCCCAAAAGTTACGACCCGAAAGCCTGAACCATCTTGTATGGCGCTTTGGAGGGCCTTTCCTTCGCACCACGTTTAGGGTTTGGGTTTTAGGGTTTGGGGTGTGGGGTTTAGGGTTTAGGGTTTAGGGTTTAGGGTTTAGGGTTTAGGGGCCAATTTTGCCAATGGACCGTAACCCTAGCTATGGTCCCTTTGGGTGTTCCTTGTACTTCGGGAGCCTTATGTCCAGTGTGCCCCCAAAAAGGGGGCCATTGTTTTGGGAGAATGCCTTCAGTTGCGGGGGGGGGGGATCTTAAGTGAGCCAAGGATATTCTTTCTTTGGGTTCTGTATATAGACTGGCCTAAAGTCGATTCCTAGAGATGCGCCAAGCTCAGCCCTGAAAAACCTGCTTGAACCCCTAGGTTTCGGGCTTAGGGTCCAGGGAAACCCGAAACCCTGCATTCCTAAGTGCTATACACCCTTAGTTTCCAAGCCCTAAACTCCAGAAGTTAGGAAGATTCCGTCAAAAAGATGGGGTTTCGGGTTCAGGGTTTGTGGTTCAGGGTTCAGGGTTTAGGATTTAGGGTTTAGGGAGTAGGGTCTTGTGGTCTCTGGGAAGCTGTCAAGCTTGCCAGAGCTTGCGGGGACTGCGACCTCATCCTCCAAACTCTCTCGGGTTTAGGGTTTAGGGCTTAGGCATACGAGGACACAAAGAAGGCGAATTCCCTGCTTGTCATGGAGTGAAGATGTCGGGTTCTGGGGGGGTTCTGGAGCAAGTCGCTGGCCCGCCCTAAACCCTAAACCCTAAACCCTGAACCCTAAACCCTAAACCCTAAACCCATCTTGAGCTGCAGCACCTGGGCGCCTCAGCCTTTGGGGCCGTTAGGGCTAGGGAGCTTCGACTGTCAGCAGGAGATCGTTTCCACGTTCGGCCCCCCGCGTTCGGGGGGGGGGGGGGGGACATGGGGGTTTAGGGTTTAGGGTTTAGGGTTTAGGGTTTAGGGTTTAGGGTTTAGGGTTTAGGGTTTAGGGCCGCATAAGGGAGCCTCGCATCAAGGCATCTTCAATAGGGGCGCCCTCAGTTTGAAGAACTGGCCCCCTATAAAATGCATCAAAACAGGTAAGCATCGGCCGTGCAGCCCGAAACCCTAAACCCTAAACCCTAGACCCTAAACCCTAAACCCTAAACCCTAAACCCTAAACCCTAAACCCTAAACCCTATACAAACCCTAAACCCTAAACCCCACACCTGAGCACAGCGCAGGCCACTTTCGATGGAAGAGGCTGAGGAGCACATATTCGGCCCCTGGCCCGAAGTTTGGGGTTCTAGGTCTTTAGGGTTCAGGGGTTCAGGGGTTTAGGGGTTAGGGTTTAGGGTTTAGGGTTGAGGGTTTAGGGGTTTAGGGTTTAGGCCCAAAACCCGATGGATTTCATCGCTCTTCCGGGTCTTGTGGTTCAGTCGAGTGCGCCTCCTGCAACACATGTGTTTAGGGTCTTTAGAGTTCAGGGCTTAGGGCTTTAGCACCCTAGGTCGTAGGGCTCAGAGTAGGTTTAAGGTTGACGGTTTAGGGTTTATGGTTCAGGACTTTCGGGCGTAGGCCTCAGCCCTAAACCCTAAACCCCTAAACCCTAAACCCTAAACCCCAAAACTCTACACCCTAAACGAGCTTATAAGGGTTCGGTGGCTCAGGGCTTTGGGGGCTTATGGGGCGTGCAGCTAGCCCTAAACCCTAAACTCCTAAACCCTCAACCCTAAACCCTAAGGCTACGTGCTGATGAACGACTGGTCGGCACGTGACATCCAAGCCTGGGAGTATGCGCCTCGGCCCTAAAAAGCCTCGAAATCCCCCTGTTTAGAGTTTAGGGTTTAGGGTTTAGGGCTTAGGGTTTAGGGTTTAGGGTTTACAGTTTAGGGTTTAGGGTTTAGGGTTTAGGGTTTAGGGAAATCCCCCAACCCCTAAGCCCACCCTAAGCCCCAAACCCTTAATCCCTAGAAACCCACCCAAAATCCCTCAACCCCAAAATCCCCCAGACCTCCTGATTCCCTAAGCCAACCGTAAACCCCGCACCCAGAAAACCTTAAAACCCTAAACCTTTTGGGACTCAGAACCTGTTGAAGCCCCGAACCTATCCCATGAAGGCTACTTGAGCCTCATTTTGCAGTCCCTCTTTTTCGCCCAAGGACCCCTCAGATTTTGAAACCCGCTAGCCCACAAATCCTTTCCTGAAACTCGAGACCACTTGAAAGGTTTCGCTTCGAAACCCATAAGCCTTGACAGCCTCGAAAGCCGGGAAGCTTACCCGGAGAAACCAGTATCTCTTCTCTTCCGAGGACTCGGAGTCGACCAGAAACTCTACGGGTGGAATCTTCACATCACTTAGGGGATAGTGCTTACTTAGTTAAGGTGGTGGGTCTTGGGGAAAACCCGAAAACCCTAAACCCTAAGCCTTAAACCCTAAACCCTAAACCCTAAACTCTAAACCCTGCCCCCCCCCCCCCCCCCCCCAATCAAAAGTCCCTCAAAAAGAAGCGCGCAGCGGAAGGTCCCCTTGGGCCCCTTCGGCGCGAAGAACTTCGCCACGACCATCTCCCCTTGGGTGGCAGGGCCCTCAAGAGACCAAGGGTTTAGCGTTTTAGCGTTTTAGGGTTTTAGGGTTTGGGGTTTAGGGTTTCAGGGTTTCAGGGTTTGGGGTGTAGGGTTTCAGGGTTTGGGGTTTTAGGGTTTAGGGTTGATGGCTTTCCTCTTGGGTGGCAGGGGCCTCAAGAGACCAATTCCAGAAAGCCTACGGGGTTTAGGGTTTAGGGATGTTTGATTAGGGTTTTAGGGTTTAGGGATGTCTAGGGTTTAGGGCTAGAAAAGTGGCCAAAAACACTTTTTTTTTCCTTTTTTTTCTGGGGGTTTTGGTACACCCCAAGCCCTGGGCCGTAAGCATGTGCGTCTCTCTAAGTGGATGAAACAGAAGCTTGGCAGCCCAACGGTACCCCTTTAAGGACCAGGGTTTAGGGTTTAGAGTTTAGGGTTTAGGGTTTAGGGTTTAGGGTTTAGGGTTTAGGGTTTAGGGTTTAGGGAGAAAGCAACCAACCAAAAAAAGGGGGTGCCCTCATTATCATATGGCTATTGGGCTACCAAGGAAGGCTCCGTAGTCTGAAGGAAGAGATTTCAGAAAAGGGACCCTGCAGCACCTACCAAACTTCTGGGAAACCTATGGGAGCCCTGCTTGAGGCCTACGCCCTTCAGGGCTTTTGAGAGTTTTAGGGTTTGGGGTTTTAGGCTTTTGGTATTTCGTCCCAGGCTCATGTACCCCAAACCCCAAACCCTGAACCCTCAGCCCGAAACCCGAAACCCTAAATCCTAAACGCAGCAGCAAGTAGTAGCGGCCCCCGGCCCAAGATCCCAAACCTTGGGCAGGTAAACCTTGGGTTCCGCTGGGAAGAAGGACCAGGGTTTAGGGTTTAGGGTTTACGGTTAAGGGTTAAGGGTTTAGGGTTTAGGGTAGGAAAACCGCTCCGTGCAAAGGTGTGTCCTTAAACCCTGATCACTAAACCCTAAACCCTGATTCTTTAAACCCCAAACCTCATGCTTTCTTATTCATAGGGTTTTGGGTCTAGTTCCCTAAGCCCTAAACCCTAAACCTCATGCTTTCAAATCCCTAAACCCTGGATTTAGGGTCATAGGGTCTGGGGGGGGGGGGGCCTAGCCCCCCTAAACCCTAAACCCTAAACCCCAGGACCCCCAAGCCGCTCTGTGAACAGGTGAGTCCCGAGGCGCTGCTGCTCGCCAAAACCAGTGGTAGGGTTGAGGGCATAGGGTTTAGGGTTTAGGGTTTCGGGTTTCGGGTTTCGGGTTTAGGGTTTAGGGTACTTACTTGGCCAAAAACTGAACTTCAAAAGCAGAAGCCGGAACCCTTACTAAACCGTAATCCTTGCAAACTCTAAACCCGGAACCTAGGCCCTAAACCCAGACCCTTTCTGTGCCCTAAACCTTGGTCCGTTTGGGCTCAGGGTTTGGTGGCTTCGGCTTGTAGAGCTTAGGCACATCCTCTCAGCTTCCCTTAGGGTTTAGGGTTTAGGGTGTGGGGTTTAGGGTTTAGGGTTTAGGGCTTAGGGTTTAGGGTTGAATTAGGGTTGGTCTCTTCACATCCCAGCCTTGCGCTGTAAACTCTT